AAAGCTGGACTGTTCATTGTTTGTTGTTCTATTCCTGCTCGTAAACTTTCTGCGTCAGCTTTGATTTCAGGGCAGCAACAGGACATTCAACTAGATAGCTCATATGTTTTATTGAATGTATTCACTTTTACCTCTTGATTACAATCAGTTATCTAAATAGCTGCCAATGTCATGTTGCTTCACTGATAGAAATATTCGACTCAACATCGCATTAAATTCATTTAACAGCTGCCATTTGTCCCAAGCGACCTGTAGTCAGGTAATTCATTTAGTTTCTGCTGGTTCAAGCATAAGTTCTGTAGAGTTCCGACTTCATCTAGACCTGCTGGATCCTGATTGGTTCTTATCCGTCACCACTCGACTTCCAGCGGTGAAGGCAAAAACGTTAACATAGGATAACATTAATGTTGATAACATTTACTCTCTGTAACAATTCCACTAGTAGTCGGTCCAAATAAAGAAATCCCTGCTCTTACTTTATTTGTATTTTCTGTAGCTAAGCAACCGACTGCAGAGTGAACACTTTGCTTCCTGTTTACAACGGAACGCACACGACCTCGTACGTGCGTAGATGGTCACATGATATGTGTTTTCCTGTGTTTTCGTTTGGACAGAGATCTGACATCTGGTGTGGATGCCTCAATGGCTGTTTGTATTTACATTAATGGAGAGCAGCAGTATTAGTTACTTAGCGTACATTCAAAAGGTAGAACTTCATGAAGTAAACCCGAAGCATCACATCTTCTGTATAAAGGCTATACATATATATATATATATATATATATATATTCCATCTGTTAACCTCTGCAGTATCTTTCCACCAACACTCTCCTGCCAGCGGTGTTAAGTAATGCGAGGCCCTGCAAGACATTGTCACACACCCAGGCAGCTCTGAAACAAACAAACCTCTCCTCTCCTTTTGCAACCTGCCTCTTTTCCCACCATCCCCTCCCCTCCAGTTGCTTTAGAGAAACAAGTAGGCCAAAAGTGGGAAGCTTGTCTGTGTTTCAAGCACAACAAAGGGAGCTGAGCAATTTGATCCCGCAGACTATCTGGGGTTTTGCGCTGCACAGGGTTGAGACGGAGCTCTGCTCTTGAAAAACAGCCTCACTGCTGTTTTTCTGTCAGTGATTCCCAGGAATGTTTTTTTTCTTGTCTGCCTGCACATTATTTCTGCCCCCATCTTTGCACTTATTCAGCAGCAATCGTGCAAGTTGGTGCTCTCCCTGTAGATCCCTTCGAAGGATGAGAGGGGATTCCCATCCAGCCTACATAAGGGCTTTGACAAACAGGTCCCACCACATAAACTCTTGTTTAGTTCCCTCTTAGATTTTAGAAAGAAAAACTCTACCTCGCTAAGGGAAGAGGGCTCAGTTGAACCGCTTCACTTTTTTTCCTTATTTGTGTGTGTGAGTGCAGCTGGTGTTGTTAACGGAGGGAAGGTTTACTTTCCCCTCTTTTTATGTGCATGCAGCTTTAGAAATAACAGAAATTCAGAGTTTTAGTTACAGGCTAGCCGCAGATTTTCCCTCATGCACCTTTTAACTGTTATTGTTTCCATCCTGAAATATGATGATAGTGATTAGAAACATTTCCATGTTTTAAGTTTTGTTTTTAAAGATATTTTTCACCACGTCTTTCTGTTTTCTCTCTCTCGACTACAATTGTGGACTAATGCTCCTTTACCACATCGCAGCATTTATGAACTTATTTTCTGCAGCTGTAATTACATGAACTTGCTGAGCTGCTCATTTTGACGCCCTAATTTGCAGTTTGGCCTATATTTCAATATTCAACATCTTTGGTTTAATCACCGCATATAGCTGTGTTTGAGCCGCTCTTGTCTGAACACTTGCTCTGCACATTAGTGCCGTTATGAACTGTCAAATCCTCATTACTCATCGGTCTCTCTGTGTAACGTCACACCATCACAGAGTCATCTTTCAGCCCTGTCTCAGAAGATGCAAGTGTGTACAGCAGCCTGAGCCTCGCTCCTGGACTGATTCTTGGTGGTTGCGGAGGGAAAAGAACGAAAATGTCTTGGATTTCTTCACCTCCATTTATTAGTTTGAAGCCTCCCCACCACGCCCCTGGTTTTTTAACTGTAAGATAATTACTGTTGTTATACTTGTAAACACAGCGCTTTGCTAAGACTGGATCTGCCCTCAGCTTGTGTGTTTTTACAGCTTCTCTCGTGGAGCAATCCTCCAGAGTCAGTGTTACTGTTACTGCCGGTCTTTGACACGGATTGCTCAACTTGACACGTTGGGACGGAGATAAACTAACGGTGAGGTTGATGACCAGATGATCGTGAGTGCAATTGCTCACATAGTTGCTGTGTGTTACGCACTACAGGGCACACCACAGAATACAAGCCCACACCCCACCAGCCCACACCCCTACATACGTGCTGCATCAACTTGACAAGTAAGAGTGGCACAGGATGTCTCCAAAACTGCACAGATGGTGAACAGTCAAGAACAGGAAATCGGTTGTGTTTTCCTTTTTTTTTTCTCTTTCTCAAAGAAGAAAAGTGTTTTCACACCAAATCCCACGGCTTCACAGAATACTCTTTTCCTCTGCGCGAAGTTTCAGCAGCGGAAAGTTTGACGGCACGAGGACAAGTAAAAGGATGTTCTCGTGGCTGTGTGCCTTTGCTGCTTTTCCAGCCTACTTTGTCTAGTCATCCAAAAGGGGCAAATAAGGAGAAAGCCTTTTCTGAACGTATAGAAGAAATCGTTATTCGTGCACATTCCTCTCGCCCTAAATGTCGAAACGTGACCTTTACAGCTGCACAGTTGTACAGGGATCATTCTTTTGAGGTTTGACAGCTACCAAAGATCAGGTGTCTGCTTTTTGTGGTTTCACACCTCGAGGCGTATGTGTGTAACGTGTTGAGTTATTTGAATGCTGATTGCGTTGGCCTTTATCTATGTATATTCTTTTGACATATATTATCTTACTCCTTCGTACTGTCAATGTCTCTGGAAGAAACTGATCATGTTCTGATGTTTGTCCCTTCTGCCTACATGGCGGAGCCCTGACTGATGTGTGTGGACTGGGGGGGGTGGAAGTGTGATTAGCATGAGAAAGCCCTGCTCTCTTGTCCTCGTCACATTGTCTGCTTTGTGTCTCGGGCTCCGTTGCAGGACAAGTCACATCCTTAAAGAGACATCATTCCCCTGAGTCAGGCTGTAGTTCAGCTTGTCAGGAAACACTTATCAACAGCCAAAAAACCTTACTTACTTTAGGACGAACAAAAAACAGTTTGTCATTGGCGACATCATTAGGGAATGTCCCTCACAGAAAGCTGTAAAGTCCAAGTGACATGAACTCCAGAAGTTTGTCTTTCACACACAAAGAACATGTTGTAGAGCAGCAGGAGGCCGGTCACTTACAGCTCTCTAATCTCTTGTCAAGTTGACTTCTTCGGCAGTTCCTGTTTTTAAAACTGAGATATGAGGATTCTTCCAGTTTCACTTATGTCGTGTCAAATATTATCAACACATCGACTAATTTGCTATGAATTTTCTGGAGATGTTCCTGATGTGTTCTCACGGCTCATGGGGCAGAAATCAAATCAAAAATAACTTTATATTAAAGTTAGTTGATAATATTTTATGGCATATTGACGACAGGAGTTGTATTCTCAGCTGAAAGAGGAAGGAGACAACAGAATCAAGTGTTACCTTGCTCAGGTAAAACCACCAGCTCCGTTTCACAAATAATTTAATTCAGTGGGATTCACTGTGACCAATGCATTCAGTCATGGAGGTGAAGAAGATCTGCACCGTGCCTTTTCGTAATTTCACTTTGGTAAACTGATAAGAGGCACCATTGACCCACTGCAGAGTCTAAAATCCCATTGCCTGTGTTGTTTCCGTCCATTTTAAATTCTGCACGATCCACCAAACCTCCAGCACCAACTCATTTGCAGGGTTGTTAAACATTGAGTTTCTCTTTATTGAAATGTGCTATGTTAATACAAATTGCCATCTGCCTTGTTAATGAAACAGGCCCAAGTGTGCCACCATGTTCTGGCTTTTTCTTTGTGTGTTTTGTAAACTTTTTTTTAAAACAAAGTTGAAATGTGGTTTTCCCCTAGAGAATGTTGAGTTGACCTCAGACACCACTGATCGGTCCGTGTGAGACGCTGCAGTCACGGGTCAGAACAGGGTCACTGATACTTCCTGCGGGGAGTTTGCTGTTGCCTCCTTTATTTCTCCCTGTAAAGCTCCTCTACAGCTGGCAGCCTCATAGTCTGGATCCTATATTTACTCATCAAATATTGGGAGACACGTATATAGCTGAATTACTAAACTGCTTCCGGACAACCGTGTGTCTGAGGACTGTGGGAGTCGCATGACAACACAGACTCTTTATCATGGCCTCGTTTTTTGGCCAGATAGCTTCCTCGTCTCTGCTGAAAATCTGTCCCGGAAAATAAAAAATGAGACAGAATGTGGCTCTTGCTCTTCTTTCGCTCACCCGCTACCCCCTTGTTCTCTCCGGTTGTTCGGTACACTAAGTGCTTAGTGAGTGCCACGGCCATGAGGAGGTACAACTGGCGGAGGCGTCAACAGCCCTCAGCCAAGTGTCCTTGCTTCCCCCGAGTGTTTTTTCACTGGCAGCGAGTGACAGTCGAGTCCGGGCGGATGGCAGCAACAACGCTGCACGGCAACATGATGGTGGAATTTCCACAACAGCTCCTGTGATATTGACACAATTTCTGTCAAGCAATAATGCAACACAAGCTCACGACACTTGGTTTACTTGGAAATTGCTTAAATTGGCTGAAAACTAGTTGGTTAATTTTCTTAAAACTGATGCTGAAGGTGAAGTGTGTTGTTGTGGATGCAGAGTGGCTCCACCGGAGATCGAGTAACATCCTTACTCTGTCCGAAGCTTGCATTGATTCAATAAATGATCCTTGATTATTATTCAGTGTTAGAAGGAAGTAAACCGTTCCCTACCATCTCTTTGTCTTCTCCTCTCCCTAGTGGTCAGTTTGCTGTGGTCAGAAGATGTCGGCACAGGAATACAGGCGTGGAGTACGCCGCCAAATTCATCAAGAAGCGGCGCAGCAAATCAAGTCGACGGGGGGTGACGAGGGAGGATATCGAGCGCGAGGTGAACATCCTGAAGGAGATCCAGCACCCGAACATCATCACGCTGCACGAGGTCTTTGAAAACAAGGCAGAGGTCATCCTCATCCTGGAGCTGTGAGTGGTTTTCTCTTCTCCTCCTCCTCCCCCCTCTGTTCTCGGCGCAGCCGGCAAATTAAGATTTTTATTTCTGCTCCACAATTAGAAGTGCAATTATTATGATATATTCAATAAAGGCATCAGCTTAAAACATTAAAAATAAGAAAAAGTAAATCATTCTAAATATTGTGGTCTTGAAAGTAGCATCTCTGTAGCATCTTAAAGAAACACTTTAATTAAAGGGAAACTCTGAGATAAGCTCTGAAACAGGATTAAAACATTTAAGTACAGAAAACAGTCCAAATTGTTATTCACACCCTGAACCACTGGACTGGTTTGGTGTTTGTCATTTCTTCCTTTCAGTTCTATCGTTTGTGATCATTTGTCAGGAATGTTGTCAGACAGCTGCAGCGCTCCGCAGTCATTACCGCTGGCTGTAAGCTGACCCTGTAATTGATGTGTACTGTATTCTGCTTTTATGCTTGTTTGTTCTGAATAAGTGTGCCAGCTGAATACTTGTAATGTAAACACGGATGATCTCACTGTGTTTGTAGTTCTTTTAAAACTGGTGGAAAAAAAAAAAAAAAAGAGTGTCCTGTTGCACAACATCTCTTAACGGGATAAGATCATAAGATCAGTCTGTCCTGAACACATGTTGCTATGACGACCATCTGAACAATTTCAAGAGTTATTTCAATTTCAAACATCAAACACAAATAACTGATGGATATAGACAAAGGAGAGTTTGACGCCCTCTCAACACTGATGTGGATTTATTTTACAAAGCAAACTTTTTGAGTTTGGGCCTCTCGTCGATATGCAAATCATGTTTTAAGTCACTAACAGTGCAGATGATCTTATTTCTATGTGCACATGTAAAAACCAGTTCCTCTACATTTGGTTTGCACGTCTAGTTCTTAGATCCCCATTGTTCTTCTCTGGTATTTGGCGTTCGAAGTCTTTTATGTGTTCTTTTATTTGTTTGATGGAGATTTTTTGTAAAACAAAGTTTGCAGAGTGGAAAATGTGCATTTGAAGAGATATCTGCAGTCGTGTAGATGAGGCCTTTAGTCCCACGAGCTGAAGCAGAAGCAGGGATTGGTCAGTGCAGCTCTGAGCAGGTTAAAACCACAACCTACATGTGGCTGGTCAAAATGTTTGGCTTCATGTTGTGTTCCTTTTGTCCTCCACGTCCTCTCCTCCCCCTGCTGCACTCTGGGTAAATACAAGCGTGACAGCGACTGCCCTTTGACCTCAAGCACAGACGGACGTGTGAGGAAAGACGCAGAGGCGACACGTTTGTGCAGAAACCTTCTTTCCAGTCTTGTGTATTTGTGTTTACGCCCTGTTAACCCACTGAAGCAGATGACGAAATAGACGTCTCCGATATAGAGAGCAAGTGTGGGGGAGGAGGGGGTGGAGGACTCAGCTGTGCAGCTGGTCGGGTGTTTTCCTCCCTGAAGGGCGGAGTTGTGTGGTGTGCGTGTGTGTGTGTGTGTGTGGTGTCTGTGGTATATTTATAATTCACATGACCTCAGCCTACACTTTGTTTGTAGGTTGAGGTTTGAAGACCCATTTATTATCATCAGCAGCTGAAAAAAAAAAGCCTACACCCTTTACCTGATTCTTCTTCACCATCAATATTAAAAACACCCTCTTTCAATGTTCCTGGACTCTTGGATCTGCCCCTTTGTCCAGATCTGCTCCAAAATGTGATGGATTGGTTCTTGGTCCATGGATCTTCCCTCCAGACAGTTTCATCTAAATCTGTTCCCCCGAGTGTTTGAGTGATTCTTCTCCACAAACAAACAGGGGCCTAAATAATCTCCTTGTTGGAGGTAAAAAAATATAAGAAAGATAAATTATGACAATGTTTGAATAAGCATAAATTGTAATATACAGAATACAATTGAAAGTAGTGATTAACCTAATTCATTCATTCATTCAAGTGGCTCTTACTGTGAACATTATATATATCGTACGACAAACATGTTTGTATGTTTGAGTGAGCGCTCAGTCTGGATAATCACGTCTGTAATTATAGTTATCTGTGCTCGTCCTCTGTCTCTCTGCTTTGTTAAACAATACAAGATCATAAACCGAGCATGTTTGGGTTTTGCTCGATATAAAATAATGATTACTTGCAGCCCAAACATGTCTTGGACAATATTTTAAATGTTTTGTGTTGAATTTAATTTGATGAATGTGTTAAAGTTCCCTGTGACTCAACAAATGATCACAGTTCTCAATATTTTTGCCTCTGTCCTGTTTGATTCTGTAAAAATGACATAGGATGAAACATGATTTTCACCAGTTTCCCAAAGAAAAGTTAATGGATCTTGATGAAAACCACAGATTCAGAGGACTGATATTTCTGAGCGTGTGAAATTTAGTGCAGCTTGGTTTAATCTATGGGGACAGTTCGGCCTTGGTGGAGGAATGAGCTCTACTGTGTCGAAAACAAACTTCTCCTTTTCCCCATCGCTCACCCATTGCTCTTATTATTGAAACACAGTTTGAATCATTCTGTTGTGAACGGTGCTGGTTTAAATGTGCTCAGGATGTGTAAATTGGTCGGGCTCTAATGCACCAGGATGATTAGATTACATCAGATCAGCTCTGTTAAGCTGGGATTTGTAGCTGGCTCTGATCTGAGAGATCTCACACTTTAATTCTCCCTCTCTCTCTCTCTCTCTCTCGTCCAGCGTGGCGGGCGGTGAGCTGTTTGACTTTCTTGCAGAGAAGGAGTCGCTGAGCGAGGAAGAAGCCACTCAGTTCCTCAAGCAGATCCTGGAAGGAGTCCTCTATCTGCACTCCAAGCAAATCGCTCACTTTGACCTTAAGGTACAGCAGCAAGCGCCGTCGCCTCCGTCTGATGTCTGATCCTCTCGGCTGGTCATGTGCTCAGCAGGAGAAACAGGATAATGTCGATTTCTGCATTTCAAAAGACCATTCTGTGCCATAAACATATAAGCTGTGTGCTGGGCCTGTTCCGCACACTCATGCTCAGCAAATAAAACCAAATACAGAACTTGAACACAGAGAGCAAAAATATTTTTTAACATAAAATAAAAACAGAAATGCACATTTTTTTTTCTGCAATCTTTATTGTGTTTTCATATCTACTGATTTTAATATGTTGGAACGACTCATTTTTGGAATATTTCCCTGTAAGAGAGTTTGTTTTCTAAACTTGTGACGGAAAAGAGTTTAGGGTCGTAATGTTCTCACTGCAGAGCACGTGGATCACATGGGTCCAGTCCATTACACTGAATCGAGTTATTTTTTAAACCTTGTTGTGAGTTTTTTTTTCTTAAATCTCAATCGATATCATTGATCAGTTGTCCACTTACAGCTGTATATATGTGGCGTCTACAGTCCAGACAGACTCCACTCACGGAACAAACCGTCCATCACAGTTGAGGACATTTTCCAGTGAGCTACTTCTGAGCAGTGTCAGAGTTATTCTCTGTCTGACAGCGGTTCAGGTTAAGACTTTATTTTCTGCAGTACGACTTTATTTATTTTTTTTATTATTAACCCATTTTCACCTGTTGTATTGTGTTTGACACCATCTAGAAGTTTTAGCTGCAGGCTTTTCTGTGGATATTGAGCAACTTTGACCTCCTGTCTGTGGACGTTGAGGGTCAGAAATAACAGCAGCCCAGATGGGGTTTTTTCTGACCATTTTAAAAAGCAGTCACACACTTGAACGTCACCTCGCTGCCAGGAGAGGTCAGTTCTGTTAAAATGGATTTCTAGCAGAGTCTGATCAATTCTGCAGAGACAGTAATATTGCCAGTCAGTGTATTTAATATGCTCAACAGCTCGATATGTTGGGCTGGGCAGACTAATGATGTCTGACTCCTCGACAGTCATCACATATGGTATTTGTATCTAAAGGACCAAAGTTATTTTAAGTCTGCTGTTATTTTATATGTTATATTTTATTTTATTATCTAGGAAAGACTCATTATCAGCCAACCGATAAATCTGTTAGGCTTTTTAAATAATGTCTTAGTCTTTGTGATTCCCCCCCAAATTTCCTAGATGGATCTGTGGACATTTTTTTTTAAAGTAAAATGATCATACTGCTCCACTGAAATTCCCCAACATTCAGATGATGCAGAGATCAGATGAGATCATTCAGAAACATGTCGGTGAATTAAACCAACAAGCTGAGCTGGAGTCCGCCTCCTGTTCCTTCCCAGACTAAATCCTCAGGCTCGGCTCAAGGTCCAGCTGAATGGACGAGGTCTGGAAGGAAAGAGGTTTCGTCTGAAAGAGGCTTTGTGTCCGTAGGAATGTCCAGCTCCTCTTGTCTCTGCTTGAAGCTCATCTCTGCCGTTCTTTCCTTTCTCCCACTTCCTCGAGATGTTTTGCATGAGATTTCCATGACTGTAGAGCCTCCTTCCTGACAGACGGTTCCTGGTTTTGTGTCTGACTCTCGCACTCTTGTTTCCACTGCAGCCGTGGAATGTAAACTTAAACTTGCATTCATTTAAAAGTACTCGTAGTTTAATTGAATTTGATCTTTTCATGCAACTATATCTAGTAATGTGTATTTTTGTACTCCGCTTCAGATAGTTGACAGTTTTTTTTATATCTATCTTTATTTTACGATATTGTTTCTTGTATATTATACTGATAAGGTTGCCTTTAGATCCAGCCCATATTAAACATTTGATCTCTTAAAGCATCGTAACTGTTTCGCATTGAATTCCAAACACACATAACCACTTTAAAACAAAGAGAGATCGTCACTTCTCCTCCGTCCTCCCTGTCTCACTCTCTTTTCCTGTGTTTGCAGCCGGAGAACATCATGCTGCTGAACCGCTCAGTGCCTCACCCGCGCATCAAAATCATTGACTTCGGTCTGGCCCACAAGATCGACTTTGGCAATGATTTTAAAAACATCTTTGGAACTCCTGAATTTGTAGGTCAGTGCATGGTGTTAAAAGCTCATTTGTCTGGGATCTAGTTTGATATTTGTAAATACTGTACGTAAGTATGTGTAAATATATTTTCTCTCTCACACTCACACACACACACACAAATCACTCGCAGCACCTCCCTGTTTCTCTGGCTTTATCCCAAAGGTTGCATATTGTGAGAGCAGGTGCCAACTGTACCATAGGGACTAAGTGAGAGAGACTCGATAATAGACTTTGATTATCAGAACTGTTCCTTCCTGCCAACACACACACACACACACACACACTCTGCCCCATCTCACCCCCTTAGCCTGGGGTGCCTGCCAACACTCCCAGTCTCCCCATGCCTGATTTCACCACCAGCACCATCCAGGCCAAAACCCGTTCCCAGTTCAGCAGAGTGGCAACGGTCAAATGATCTAAATAAAGTCACAAGTGTTGGATTGCTCATGCTGGAAATCAGGCCTTTCAGCCCGTGAATTCATTAAGTACAAAAACAGATTGCATCGTTATTCCATTGCAAATATAGATTTCCAGTCTCTTGCGTCTGTCTGTCGAAGATTGTTTTTTAGGTTTAGTCAAAGTTAAATGAAATTTATGAAATGTGTAAATCATTCCCCTTCTCAATTTTGTAAATGATTATCGCCTAGATAAACATAAGATAAAGACTAATATTACCATTTATAATCATATTAATAATAATGATGATGATGATGATGATAATTATAATAACAACAACAAAAGGAATATCAAATTCCATCAGTTTCAACACAAAACTTTCTTTCTCGCTGAATTTCAGTTTCATCTCAACCCTGGCGTTAAAAGTGGATTAGAAAGAACTGCATCATACTGTTCATCTTATAATTTAATTATTCACACATCAGAAGAGCTGTGAAAAGAGGAAGAGAAATGATCACAGTTCTTGTAGGTGTTATTTACATTTTATTATAAGACAGTGAACCCAGCTGAATGTTATGACTCTCTCAGATCCAACTCATCAGGATGGACGAGGGGGCTCAAGGAAGAAAAAGTTAATTATTAAGGGGAAAATTACTCACAGAACATAATGAAGGTAAAGTTAGTGTGATGTGTTGTTGACCTGAATATTAATATCCTGCTTTTTTTTGTCTTGCAGCACCAGAGGTAGTCAACTATGAACCTTTGGGCCTGGAGGCAGACATGTGGTGAGTGAATAATAACTCAGTCTGCTCCACAGCGATCATCATGCACATGTGCTGTTTGAAATTATTCCCGTTTGTGAGGAACATCAGCTGTTTTGCATGATGCTCCACACATGACTGTTTACCGATGAACTATTTAATGCTAAAATTCTCTCCTCTTTTTCTCCTGCTCTCCTCAGGAGCGTTGGCGTGATAACCTACATCCTGTAAGTATCCCACCCGGGACGATGTATGACTTTGTAAAACGTTAAATATGCATAAATCAGAAACCTGCACCACCCTCACGTTCACAGTTTCTCACAAACCCCAGGTCGTCCCTCACTAAACACGAGGGCATGAGAATGTTTAGTCAGATGTGAAGAGGTTAATGAGGTCTCTTTGACCTCAAGCACAAACATTAGTGAAGCACACATGGTTGTGAATAATGTATAAGCCTGTAGCAGGAAGCATTGTGCAAATGAAACTGTTTTTATGTGATATTCAGTAAAAACAATTCTATATTTCTATATTTTCACTGAGATTTAAATCCTCACACATCCAACCCATGCTGCAGAAATGTAATTCCCCCCCCCTGTATCTAAAAAACAGAAAGAAATGTAAATTAACGGCTGTGCCTCATGCTAACATATAAGCAAACATAATCATGAAGCTGTAAATGGAATATTTGTAATCCTGATTAAAGCAGGATTATTGTCGTCTTTATGTTTTTTAAATCTGACTTTAGCCAGTTTTTTTCAAATTTTCAAAATAAACACAAAGAAGTTTCCAGATGTTTTTAAAATCAAACGCTGAAATTAAAAAAAAAAAAATGCAGTGTTAAGGCTGCGAGAGGCCGATTAACGAGATCTGGATCTTGCGACATGATGACTTTCAGTAGAGCACGAACCTCCACCAAGGCCCAAACCAGTTCCCTCAAATCAAATCAAACTGTCCCAGTTACACACACTCATAGATTTTAGCTGCCAGACGTGCCTGATTGTTTTTATCAAGATCCATTAATTGAAAACATTAAAGACTGCACGAACGTCAGAACAGGTTAATTCAACAGCAGAAGTTGGCGCCCTCGCCGACCCACCGATCAACCGTTGTTCTCTCCTCCTCATTTCCAACCAGGTTACACGGCTTTCAGTGCTCCCACACACCTTCATCCTTCAGAGAGACGCCGACGCAAAGCCCCGCACCAAACATGTGCACTGAACTGTACATTAGCTGCATTTGCCCACACACACACACATGTGGAGATGTTCGTGACTTCGTTAAAAGCAAAGTAAATAAAGTGTGGGTGCTGTTAGAACGATGCATCATTTAACTTCTACACGTCCATGCTCACATACGTCCCGTACAAATACACTGGATCATTGTTCATGCTGTCCGCCCGCGCAGATGTCACTGCTCTGCCTGGCGAGGCAGGAAATAGATTGTTCGCTGCCTGTTATCACAGCAAGAGCAACAGCGAAGATGATGCGACTCCTCATCTCCTGTTGTTAAAAAAAACAAAGCAAAAATATTTCAATTAACATTTTTTTGGGAGGATCTCCAAACTCGTACTGAGAGTGTTCTGCTCGACTCGGTTGCCCCAAGGTGATAAAAACTCCATTAGGCGAGACATACAATTATTCGCTCTTATTAAAGACCTGAAATTATTTGGTTAAATGCTGTGAATTAGCTTGAGGCGATGCAACTTTCTGCTCTGCTGGAGCACTAATTTTGCTTTGAGGTTGTTAAGATGAGTGTAATAACATTAAAAATGTGCACTCTGCATCTCCAACTCCCATATCGAATGCATTTTTGGGAAAACAGTTGATAAAATGTTCCCTCAGATCAGATTCTTGCTGCTTTTACTGCCCGGTCCTGTAAAAAATGGCTTTAATTACTTTGTTGTGAGCAGCTGCAGCTTATACAGTGAATTCACTTGCATTTCCTCTCAGCTTGAGCTCGACTTGCACCACCTCCGTGTTTGTCCGAGCTGCCGTGGTAATTAGTGGCTGTTGCTGCTGGAGAGGGGAAGTCCAGGGTTTGGCACGGACCCGTGTTTTGGTTTAACTGCCGGAGCTCCAGGAAGCTGGGACCTCATCACTATGCATGACCGATCCGCCCCTGTGTGTGCAAAGAGACATATCCTGCTCATGTTCATGATTTTAATTTATCATCGGTGGAAAGATTGGTTTTAGGTTCTGTCTCTTTAAAAGGTTGACCTCCGCTCTGGCTTTACCTATTTTGTTTTGTATTTTTGGAACGTGCCACACAAACCACTAGACGTGCCCTTATGCAAATGTGGGAAGTGTTGTGTACTGAGCTCCCTCTTCTGTGGACCTTGGACTTTATTGTGCAGATATTTACATACACAAAACACCTCACAACACACCAGAGGACAGGAGAACTGCAGAAGCATCATGTCTCTTTACTTTCCCCTCGCTGCATCTTCTGAATTTGATGTGCACACGCTAACTCTCACACGCACTCCTACCAAACTCCTCACATATTCACCGGAGCTGAGAGTCGTCCAGCTGGCTTTCCTGTGAGTGTTTGACTAACAAACACCAAATACTTCAGCCTGATAGCGACGCTTGACTAATGAGTCACCATTAGTTGCTACGCAGCTCTGTAATCACATTACCCACATCCACAAGCAGCAAGGTTTTAGTTTTGGTTTTTGGAGGAACAAAGCTAATCAGCGGTGGGAGAGTAAGTGTCTGAATGGAAATCTAATATATTCCTTTTTCCCTTTGATTACGAGAGCCAAGTTAGATGATGAGAGGAAGTCACTGATGTATAAGTAGAAAACATCAGAGTCTCTGAAGCATAAATAAAGAGCTGAACACGTCTGCTCATACATGAGGGGCGTTATAATCTCAAAGCAAATTATAATCCTAATTTTTAGATGTGATTGAGTAACCAATTATAAATGACTACTGACCATTTTTAACCTCATTGTTCTCATTATTGTTCATCACGTGCAGTTTGAGCGGCGCGTCTCCTTTCCTGGGTGACAACAAGCAGGAGACGCTGGCCAACGTGTCGGCCGTCGACTACACTTTCGAGGAGGAGTTCTTCAGCAACACCAGCGCCCTGGCCAAAGAGTTCATAGCAAAGCTCCTCGTCAAAGATCCCAAGTGAGTATAATATGATGATGTGTCCTTTAAATGGTTTACGAGGCAAATGTCCACCAAGGATGCAGATATTAATGGTTTCTGTATTTTTTGACAGCCCAGGTCTATTTAAATTCATATTTCGTCCGGGACTGTGTCATTGAGGCTCTTTGAAAACACAGCAGCCAGTTTTTTTCAATAACTAAGATTCAAAAGCAATGATTCATCTGAAATAAAAAGTCCAGTCTCATCCCTAGTTCTCCATTTGCTCTATAATAATGTAATTTAAACAGCTCGATAATGAATGCGTGCTCTTTAGTCGCTGCCTTTTTGAAAAAATTAATTTACCAGAAAATTGAAAACCGTCTCTGCAGGTTTTCCAAATAAAACCGTCTCTCGTCCACATTAAAGAATTAACATAACAAATAAAATAAATGTGAAAAATAAAATACAAAGTATTTAATTTAAAACTGAATGCCCTTTCATTACCGAGTTGCTGCGGCTCCACGTAAAGTCAGTTACTCACAGGTTATTGCTCCTGTTTCTTCAGGACGATGGAACGAGGTGAATAAACGTGGGTGTGGAGATGATTTCAGGCTTAAAGAAGAAAAATAAAAGCAGCACAGGTTACTTTAAAAAGACTCTGCAAAAGAATAGGCCGACTTTACATACGTGTGGGGCTTTAAGAAATCCTCGACCGAGTGCTATGAAAGGGAACGAGAACTTTTACAATACAAACACACAAGGGGGGGAGGGGACACACACCGAAAAAACATTATTGTGATATTCTGCACCTGAAATGCAGAAACGCAGATTATCCTCAGTCAGACACGTGTGTGTGGTAATAAAGAGACGCAGACGGGAGGAAGCGGCGTCTCCCACTGAACCACACCAGTTTCTGTGACGGTCACTTTGTGCTGCACATACTGGAACGTTTTCAGAACGTCCTGTTGTTTTCATTGTTAGTTTACCGCAGGTGGGTTAAGGGATGTGGCGCCTGGACTTTCAACCACATCGGTTTCTATCTCGGCTTTTATTGAATGTCAGATGCTAATTATAGATTATAGACCTTCTACACACTGCTCAGTAGGTAATGTTAGATTAATATAATCTCTGTGTGAGTGCTGAGTTTATGTTTTTATGACTGTTAACTTAATGCAACTTAGATAGTAGAGTACAAATTGTAACAGACATGGTTCCCTGTTCACTTGAAAGTTTGTCTCACTACCTTATTTACTGTGATAAAGAGAAGAACAAAAACCTAGAAAAGGAAGTAACATGTTCTCGTTGAACTAATGTCAATGCAGCAGAAAATTACTAAAATAATCACTTTTTTTTTTCGTGGGAATTAGTTCAGAGCAAAAGTAATGAATCTGCTCAACATTTCATGCAAACAAGTTTTCTAATAGAACTGTAATTTGGAGGAATCTTTAAAAAAATGAGGAAAGTAATTCCATCCTTCAATATTAGAGGCTGGAACAAGTGAATGTTTTGATATAAAGAAGTGAACGGACTGATTCATCTGTACATTACACAGAGTCCGTTGAATCTGATATTTCCTGCTGCTGCACTGGTCGGGGACTTGTTGTTGTTTCAGATACCAGTGATACAGTGAAACACAGGATCTCTGCCAGGATCCTGTTTTAGTAATAAAAACTTTTTACACCCGTCACACATGCATTTAATCTTTCTAGAGCCTCAGAACCTTTTAATACAAAGGTTGATTTACAACTACAACAATATAACAATGACCCTAATTTGATCCCATAGAGTCGTTGATCATTAAAATGCTCTGTCATATCAGAGAGCAATAAATGAGATGGTTAACTATCAACGGCTGGAAGTTTCTTAAGGCACAGTTTTTTATTTTTTAATTCTCTGTTTGCAGACGGAGAATGACGATTCAGGACAGTTTCCAGCACCCCTGGATCAAGGTAGCTCTCTATGAAGCTGACTGATCAAATTTAAAAACTCTTTCCTTTTCCTCAATAAATTGATTCTCCACCAGATTTATCTTAACAATGACATCTTGTTATTGATTTGTAAATTGTTGTGTTTGTGTGAAATCAGCCAAAAGATACTCTGCAAGCCCTGAGCAGAAAGGAGTCGGCCGTCAACATGGAAAAGTTCAAGAAGTTTGCAGCTCGAAGAAAATGGAAAGTAAGTTCTCTGCGATACTGTTTCTGAATGTTTACAAACTTGTGGACCACGTTGCATCACCACATCCCCAAGACGCTGCGCTGTGACCGCTCACGATGAGTCCGAAAATGTCTTTACGTTTGCACCTGTCTGCCGTTTCAGAATCACTTCAACGTGACGTTACATCAACTTGTTCTGGGTCTTGATATATTCGTTCATGGATCGTCGTTTGTTCTCTTTTCCAGCAATCCGTCCGACTTATCTCCTTATGCAACCGTCTGTCCCGCTCCTTCCTGTCCAGAAGCAACATGAGTGTGGCGCGCAGTGACGACACGCTGGTAAGACCTCACTGACTTTTTTTTTTTTTTTTATTTGACTGGACTCACACTTTCGCTGTAGAGCTTCAAACGCCATATCTTGCATGGTTATAAAAAGTAAAAGAAAGAATTCCTGGATCTGCCCCTTTGTCCAGATCTGCGCTAAAATGTTCTGGGTTCTCTCTTGGCCCTGGTCCCATCCCTCCACCAAGTTTCAAAGAAAATCCATTGAGTCAGATAATCAGACAGGGTTAGGGTTAGTTGCTGTTATCTCTTCGGTCCTATCTTTAATATAAATCCCAGTAAAAGTCATCGACAAGAGGCCGGCAGCTTAATGAGTTTCATTTTGCTTTTATTGAGGTGCATTAACTTATAGGACCTGAAGCTCTCGGTTACTGCTCTGGTATTTTCAGCTCGACAATCTCTCCGAGAATCTTGAGCTTCTATGTGTAATTGATCTGTTCCTCATTTCCTCCCAAGTGCCACAGGTCAGATGTTTGCAGAATTGTTGGAATTTCTGTGTGTGTGTGTGTGTGTGTGTGTAGCGTAAAAACCAGGCTGAGCTGGCAGGAATGTCCCTCCTAGGAAAGGAAAAGTCTTCGTCTGAGTTTGTGCACAAACAGCGATACATGCGACAGCTTTCGTGTCATTCGTGTCTAAAAGTTGATAGCGGCGATGTCAACACTGCAGCGTCTGTCAGAGTCTTAATCATTTACGAAGCGTTGCCAGCAGGCCAAGGCCGGAGGCCTGTTCCCTCAAGGGATTACACATCAACTTCCTTGTGTCACAGGTGAACTGGCAGGTGCACGTAGACGTGTCAGAGGTGCTGCGCCTCCTGCAGTATGCAAACAGAGCTGCAGCTGTAACAGATGTTGACAAGTTCAGGCTTCTGAGTAGATCATGGTTTTATTGGCTGAGCAGGTTCAGGGTTAAGTGCTTTACGTAAAGACCTTACTCAGAGGTGGGTTTAGCTGCAGCTCCCCCTGTGTGAATGATCAACTAAGACATTGTTTGTGTTCAGACTCAGAGGGTGAGAGTCATTTGTGTTTGACGGTTTTTCAACAACATAAACTACCAAATTGATTGTCATGAAATTCCGTGGAGGGGTGGGGCATCAAATTAAATTGGCTCTGGATAATCTAGCAGATCCAGAATTTTTTTGTTTCGCATTCTTTATCATGAAGAAATAGGGCGTCAGCCTCGGTGGAGGTCTGTACTCACCGAGCGTTCTTCCAGTCTATAATATGGACAATTTATCCAGGAGCAGTGATATGAGGTAACTCCTTTTCCATCCCGTGTCATAAAAAACATTTTCGGAAGGTAACGATCCCAAACAGCTGTGATAACAGTGAGTCCCCGGGAATCACACTCCTGCTCATACATATTTGTGTTGTGCTTGCTGCTCTCGGCGGTGGTTTTATTCATGGCTCCCCCCCAGCAGGGAGGTTATGTCGAGGAATGTAGCTGGAGTATCACGCTTGGCCGAACAAATGCCACATCAGCCTCGCCTCCTCTCCCCCCCCTCACCTCCCTGCGTTTCTCCCCCTTCGACTCTTTGTGCAGCGGAGCATCACAGCCAATTTCTGCGGCTTCCAGCTGACTCTGGCTGAAGGTTATTGGGTCACATGTCAAAGAACGACCTTGACCTGTTTTTAAAACTAAAATGCTGATGTGAATGAAAGTTCTGCTGTTTTTCTGTTCAGTTTCTGTGAATCAAAGCCTGGGGAAAAGATGAAAGAGCGACTTAGGGGCCATGTGATAGAAAGAATTCACAGGATTAACGCTCACAGGATTAGATCATCCCATGAACATCAGAAGAGTAATTGTCGTTCCCACCTGTTTAGGACGAGGAGGACTCCTTCGTGATGAAGGCCATCATCCACGCTATAAACGACGACAACGTGCCTGGTCTGCAGCATCTGCTCGGCTCTTTGAACAGTTATGACGTCAACCAGCCCAACAAGGTGAATTAACACAGACACAACAGACCTTATTACAGCAGCCATTTTAACACACACCGTAGGTAAACACCTTGTTAGACTTTGCACACAAACAGAACTTTGATTATTATTCTTTCAACCCTTTTTTTTCATTGCAGTCTTTTGTTTTGAAAGTGTGAAATGCTTCCTGTCCAGTTGTTTGAATGTGTGTAGAGGAGCAGGAGAATAACAGCTGACGATCTCTAACTGTGTTTCATGTTTAAACTCAGGAACCGGTTCATAAAAACTTCATCTGGCCTTTTCCTGTTTTATACATCGGCCAGTGCTTCCACCGCCGTTTAGTTACACAATAAGAGAGATATTTACGTGTGTGTGTGTGTGTGTGTGTGTTGCAGCACGGGACCCCTCCCCTCCTGATTGCCGCTGGCTGTGGCAACATTCACATCATCGAGGTGCTGATGAGAAAAGGTGCAGAGATCCAGGCCCACGACAAGGTACGTGTGTCATCAGTGTGACTCTGACAAGCAGCTGTTGACTCTGTAACACACACAGGCATCAGAGACGTCACATTTCTTCTGGATGAATAGACTGCACCGTCAATACATTTAGTAAAATGTTTATTTAAGTTACGCACTCATCTACCACTTAGATTCATTCAGTCAGTGGCTGTTGCCTCATCTTATCTTTCATTGAAATATGATCGAATGAGTCCCAAACTCTTAAATATGCAGATTTTAAATTTGACAGACTCTCAGTTATAGCGGATACCTTGAGTCTAGTTGCTGGAATTAGCATTTCAAGGGATTTCTCTTCTCTCCGCTTCCTTCAGAGTGGAGCCAACGCCATCTACTACGCAGCGAGACACGGCCACGTCGAGACCTTGAGATTCCTTCATGAAAAGAAATGCCCTCTGGATGTCCAAGATAAGGTGAATCAAGTGCCTCTTTTCTCCCTCTCTGCCTGTCTCACACACACTTGTACAGAAACACAGAATCTTACTACGACTCCACACACACACTGTTATCTGTCGGCGATTGCTCACACACTCCCACACCATTAAACCTCTTGAGAAGCATTACTTTGAAACACACACACACAAACACTCTCAAAAGCACATTCACACGCTGACACTCGCCACAGTCTGCCCCTGTGGAGAAAACCAGCTACTCGGGCATTTTTATCAGCTTATTTGCTGTTGCTATAGAAACAGGCCTCGCTGAGAAAGATGGGCCGTGTGAGTCTGTGTGGGTGTTTGCTTTAGATGCTGGTTTGATGCTGGCCTCGATCACAGAGCCTGCTCGGGCAGACAAAATCCCAAAAGCATTTTTTCCAATCTCTTTTAATCATCGTGCTTCGCTGGTGGTGTCCTCTTCTGTCTGAGGTAGGGCAGAGTCCTCCGCCAGCACAGCTAATCTGCACACCAGGCACTTTCCTGATTATTATCTACCTCCCGTCCAAGGATAATTTAAGTTCCATCTGACTTTATTACGCCGTAACCCCGACTCACAAGCGGAGGTGTCTGTATGTAACTAAGTAATCGCCTTATGAGAAAGACAGAGCTGTAAAACCTTTCAGCACCTTTTTAAAGCAAGATGAACCTTTTCCCTCTAATTAAATAAATCCATGGAGCTTTTTTTTATCCCTAACATGAATCCATGTTCTGTTAAGCACTTTCCCCTTCTACAAGCCAACACCTTGGGCGTCGTTTCCCGTACGCAGCTGCTCAGCAAATTAATGGATGATGGATCGATTTCTAGAGAGTGGGATTTCTGCATATGCAGGACTGTAAAATATTAATGTCTTGTTTAAGTGGAAGTGTTGGGAAAGTTGCTGAGTCTGAGGAGAGAGTAACAGGAATCATTTGACTTCATTCCTCAAAGTGCAAAATAACTTTTTTTCTCGATATTTATTATTTCATGTGCACGAAGACATTTTAATAAAAGTACTTTTCAGTTCACGTCATGATTCTCTTTCTGTTCCCTCAGTCCGGTGAGACAGCTCTTCATGTGGCGGCTCGCTATGGCAACGTGGATGTGGTGAACTACCTGTGCAGCATCCGGGCCAACCCAGACCTGTCTGACAGGGTGAGCACATTTACACACACGTTTTATCAGAGACTCTTTTTCCAACCAAAAGGTTTTATTCTTTTGCCTCCTTTCTTTCCATCTCCAGGAGCAGGAGACCCCGCTGCATTGCGCTGCCTGGCACGGATACTCGACAGTAGCCCGGGCACTCTGCCAGACGGGCTGCAGTGTGGATGCGAAGAACCGCGAGGGCGAGAGTCCGCTGCTGACGGCGTCTGCTCGAGGCTTTGCGGACATCGTGGAGTGCCTGGTGGAGCACGGGGCCAATCTAGAAGCAACTGACAAGGTGATAATCTCTTTGGCGGACGGAAGATTTAGTTTAACATCTTATACACACGCTAACTTTTCTAACTTTTTTCTGAATCCTAACTTTTAATTACAACATACAGTTGCTTCCTGCTTTACCGTTGATGCCGTGTGAGAGAAATTGAACTTCTTATTGGGGTCAGGAGTGTTTCTGCAGGGTTTTCCAGATCCTTCTGGGGATTCTCAGCACTTCTGGTTCTGCCTCAGGGTTTTCTGCCACTTGTTTATTCCCAGTATCTGTGAAGATAAACAGATAGCATCTTTGAAGCCACTGCACAAAAGTGTTGAATGTTTCGATTAACAACAATTGAGAGATTGAGGATTTACGCCGCGCTCTGTGTTTGTGTCCAGGACGGCCACACCGCCCTCCACCTGGCCGTACGGAGGTGTCAGGTTGAGGTGGTCCGCTGCCTCCTCAGGCACCACTGCCACCTGGACCAGCAGGATCGCCATGGTAACACGCCGCTGCACATCGCCTGCAAGGACGGAAACCTGCCCATCGTCATGGCAATCTGCAGCGCCAAGGCGGGCCTCGACCTCGCCAACAAGGTGAGGACGTTGTTTTTGTCCGTCTGTCCGTCCCATTCTTGTGAACACGATATCTTAAGAGCGCCTCGAGGGGATTTCTTTGATTCTGGTACAAACATTCAGTTGGACTCAAGGATGAACTGATTCGATTTTTGGAGGTGAAAGGTCGAGGACATGGTTTCATTTGAGTCTGGAAAAAAACAAACAAATGTATTTAGACTGAACTGGTTTGCAGAGGCAGACAGCTGCTGGATGGTGATTCTACTTGAGAACTGTTATAACACCACTAACATTTGAATAATTCATCCATGAATTAAAATGCTCCTGGTTGCACAATGAGCAATTTTGACTCATCTTACATAAACCAAACACAGCTATTGTTTTTCAGCCGGCGGCTGCACACTGGCAACGTGACGCGGTGCATTACCTTGATGAGTCAATTTGAGATTGTTCACCTTTCTGAAGGTATTTCAAAAGAGCGGGGGCAGCTGGAGCCGCTCGTGATAAAAGGAAAAACATTTTTCATAACTGTTGCAGATGGACTCACAGCTCAACATGTCCACATACATGTCGTAAAGAATATTTGTTATAGGTGTGTTGTGATAGTCGCTGATCACAGCTTGTTTTGAGAAAATATTTGTATTCTGATAACTGCTGGAGGCTTTTGTCTTAGTGTGATAAACTTTTTCTTTTCAGCAGCTCTCTCTTACCTGGTTTATATTTCTGGCAGATCTTGGTCGTCCTCGCTGCGAGGCACGACTTCCCACACGTTTCTGCCTTTGGTGTTTTCACATGCTATTTTGACACCAGCCATTTTAATGTATTCTGCGGTGGGACGCTTCTCTCAGACACTCTCCTTTTTATTTTATTCTTTTTTGCATACAGAAACATTTTTTTTTCCCAGAGAAGCTCATGGAAGTGATGTGCATCAGAGGCAGACGACACTACCAGGGATTTTATTTATTCCATATTTTCAGTGTTTTTTTTAAGGCTTATCTCAAGCAGCCTATGACACATGGCTGAGTCTGAGCCTGGATCTGTCGGCTGGAGACACTGGGGAGGAGAATACGAGGCGTGGAAATGAAAATGTCTCCTGTTTTGTTTACAGCAGATTCAAACAGGATGAATGCTGCCTTGTTTTTTTTGTTTTTTTCAAGTTGTGACAGACTAGAATTGATTCTGCTCTCAGGGACGGGTATTCATATTTTCCAAATCTTTTCTTTTATCCTCTAAAAGTTCTGTTTTGATGTTTCAATATGTTTAAGAAGACAAGAAATAGTAGCTGTGATCTGAGGGTGTCAGTGTTTCAGGTCTACGAGAAATTATGAGAAAAAAACTGCCATCAAATCATCGCAGTGGTGTTTTTATACAGTCAGCTGTTCAGTGTAGGTTTAATGGAACGCAAAACACCATGAGAAGTATTTTTACAATAAATCAAACTCACAATTAGGATCTATTTGAAATTTCTGACGCTGTGATTGACCTTTCAGACTTTTTGTTAAATTATATTTTTATCTAGCAGATTAATTAAATTCAAACTTTCCCTTTTGACATTTCTCACTTCAAATTCATTCTTCTTCTTCTTCTTCTTCTTCTTCTCGTCCAGTACGGTAGAACCCCGCTCCACCTGGCTGCTAACAACGGCAGCCTCGAGGTCGTCCGTCATCTCTGCCTGGCCGGAGCCAACATCGACGCCGTCACAAACGTAAGTCACTGCGCACTTGGCCGTTTCCACTCACTTAACAGAGGCACAAGCTTAACGCAGAATTATATGATTTATTATGACTGTAACTTATCTCAGGTTGTGTTTTTCCACCGTCTCGGTAAAAGCCTCTCTGCGTTTGGATTCATTAAACTGTCACGTTGTAAGAGCTGGTGCTGCTCCCGGTAGAGCTGGTGCATTAGCATGTATAGAGGGTTTGTCACCATGACAGATTGCGGCGTTTGTATCTTGTATCTTCTGAGGGATGTTGCCGTGGTTCGGTGAAATGGATGAATAACATACATGACGTCCATCATATAACAAACATCCTGGAAACGTCTCTCTTGGCTTATTTCTGTGGAGGAAGTTGATGCTCTGCTCACTTCGCTCTCACACACGCTTCATATGATGACAGCTTTGTAATTCAAACAGGTTTTAATCTGCAGTTTAAAAACCTTCAGGTGTTTACTCATTACTGAAATTACTGAAACTGAAACTTCTTAAACCCAGAAACTCTTCTTAAAT